TAATTATGGATACACATAGATTTGAAGGCTCAACTTTCGACGATGAGTAGTGAACACTATTACTGATTATGTAATGTAAAAAAAAACCTGTTTCTGAAACTAAAGTATTATTGGTCGAACGCATAGTGAAGGTGCTCCTTTAAAATTCATTTCCAAACATAAATAGTTAACATTAATACCTTTCTAGAACTAGACACCGTGATTGTAATTGCAACAATCTCCAAAAAGTCTAAATATCGAAGTATATTTTAATATGTTATTAAAGCCCATTACAGTTGGATTTCTGCCCACGAACAGAAAGTAGTTTACAATCATTTTGAATTTCTTCCTCGATAATTCGAATAAAAGGGCTGTAATATTTCAACAAAGACTTCAAATCACAACCATACGGAGCGAATGACTCCGTACAACCAAAGCCATTCTAAACCTTTAAATGCGATTTGAAGGCTTCGTTGAAACATAATACCTTTAAGTCGGGGATAAGGTTCAAAATAGTTGTAAACTTCGTTCGTGTGTGTTATTCCATGTAAACACAATGCGTAGTCTCGTCACAGACAAACATGAAATGCAAATAATGAAGTTTTACGTCCTACTTTTCCGCACCATGTGGGCTAATGAAGACAGGCGACACCATGTAGGGTACAATGCGGGAATTTTTCGATTTCCAACTGTCGAGGGATCTTTAACGTGCACAGCTTGTAGCACAATATGGGGCCTCGGTTTATTGTCCCATCCGAACGACTAGACGCTTTTCCAAGTCAGCCTACATGCATCACTGACAGGGGGAAACCAGGTTGAAAAATCCGAAGGGTATCATCTCGACCTATGTCGGTAATGAACCCTGGACCTTCGCTGATCCACCAAACATGTATCAAGATACTTTGTGATTGCAATATCCTTCTCGTCCATAGTCTTCAGCCCCCAGTGTATATTTTGAGGGGAGGAGATTCTTATGTGTCTTCTTGCAGGCTAAGCTGGAAAATAAGACTTACTATTGTCTTGTTGTCAAGGCCAATGTTAATTGATCGACATAAACAAATTATTAATATCTAACAGTTCTGACTGATTAGGTGATTGTTGGACAGCATGGGGTGTCATTTAGATATACCGAAACATCTGCTACTGTTTACAAATGACCAGTCTAAATTTTTTAGGTTGGTGATGAGAACATAGTCTCATAAAAGCACTGGCCAAGGTCACAAAGTAAAGATTTATGCTATAATAAGTAGCTAGTTAAAGTTTACGATAATCACATACGTTAATTATGGATGAATACTAGTTTTATATTTATGTGGATAATTTTAATCTATAGCTGTTAAAGTAAAAATGGTAAGATTTATTTTCTTTGAGGAGTTGGTTCAGGTACATATTTCGTGGACAATACAATTATCGTAATGTATGCTTTTGTCGTGATTCAGAATTTCTCGATTTTTGTTTTTTTAAAGAGCTTTTGTGGTAGTATGTTTCCTGAATGGTTATAAAAATGATGAGGTATTACTATAAAAGTCAAGTTGGAAATACAAATTCAATGAAAATCATATATCGCGATTTTGTGCTTTTGACTGTGTATCGACTACCTTATCTGTGATTTATCTCTACGTGGATGAACATCGATTTATCTTAACTATTCTGCATTTAGATTAGATTACATGCATACCGAATAAGATAAACATTTGTGATGCTCTATATAATCCAATTTCTCACTTGGAGAAGGAAAACTGACATTGCCCTCAAATCATGAGAACAACCGAAATTATTTAATTTAATTTTACATTCGATGAAGAAGGTTGACTTGGCAATCTTGGAATGTTGATTTTAGATGGTCATTTTGAAGTGTGAAAATTTAATATTTCTGAGCGTCACTATTTTTAAAGTCTTGCAATCAAGCTCAAAGAAACAATAGATCTTCTTTCATCGATCGCCAAAACCACTAAAAAAAAAATCAATTCCAAGATCAAAATTCCATTTATTTACCGAACAATAAACAAGACGAAGTCCGTTGAATATGAACCTCTTCTTCAATCTACGAAATTTCATTCTAGTTTGTTAAATGATTTACTCTTGTTCAAAATCAGCCCCTTTTCATGCCAGGAAACATAAGGTATTTCAAATAACGACTTATTACCTTAGTGGAAAACATTTATTATAAATTCATGTTTATTTTCCTACAAGAGCTATTGCATCACCAACATGAAAAAAATTCTGTGCATGAGTCATTGAATAACTTGACTTGGAATATATTTTCTGTGTCAGAATTGTTGCATAGAGGTTCCATTAGTAACGACTTTAAAGATGGGTTCCCTTATTTTCATTTATGAAAATGAAAATGTTAATACTTATATGAATAGAAGTAGAGGTGTTCTAATGACTTGGAAAAATACCAGTTTGTCTCACATGTCCATAATTTATTCATAATTAACTAAATAAGAAGCGAATTACCAGCAGAGTTCCATTGCGTGACCGATCAAGAAAGGTCAAAAAGTAATTTTTGTTTATCCAGTCTGTACTTACATGAACATTTATGATTGGTTAATTATATGCAATAAGAAAATAATGATATGATTAAGAATACATGATAATTCATTAGAAACACCAATTAATCAAATAGTTTGCTTAATTTGACACTATAAAATAAGGAAACCCATCTTTAAAGATGTATTAAAATATTTTTTCGGTGACGGCAGAGCAGAACAAATGTCTCATGGCGGATTTGACAATAAAAAATGTAATAAAAAAATAAATAATTTAAGACATGATGGTTAAGGAAAAGGTGGTAACTGTTTGTCTACCAAGAACCTTTGACCGAAAAGAATTTTTGGATTTTTGAAAAAAGACCTCGGACAGTTAGTGATTGTGACACAACTAAAGACGGACACCTTAGATTCATAAGGGTTGGGTGTGGATGTATGTTTATTTTAGCTCCTTTTATATCTGAAGTATGGTGAATAAGAGTCTTAAAATAGATTGTGCAGTGGTCCAACATGCTCTTAACATTAAATTTCGCAATAGCCGCATTGATTTAACTTTGTCTATTGTTTTTACTAACGTAGCAAATTTTCTACTGTAAAAGAAATTGATTGTTTTAAAGGAATACTACCCCATAAAATGAACAAAAAAAATTAAAGTCTCAAACTTCGCCAATATGAGTATATATTCATCAGTTGGACTTACCTGGTGTCATGAGACTCATGACTGAAGAATAGAATCTCTATATCAGTCAATATTATCTATTAAACTAAATAATTATTGAAAAACGCTTCTAAGCATGTTTCAAAATTACTCGGTTTAATGAATTATTACATATTTTTATGGATTATAGAGGGATTCTGTTGTAAAGTTATGACCAGGTAAGTCCACTGATGAACAATGACTCATTCTAACTAATTTTTTGGTTCACCCTAAGAGGTAGTATACCTTTAAAGTCAGACGGATTATTTTATGAAGACATAGATTGACAATGAGATTGCGTGGTTAACTTCATATCGACCAGATTTCTTGTATGTAAGTTTCTAAATCTTGTTACAGATTTTGATATCGCCTTTAACAATCTAGACCAGAATATCCTGATTGTTTGAAATAAATCCGGAATTAGAAAGAATTGACATTCTTTTGTTCTGACGTGTATCGACGTGTGTGATAACAAAAAAACCTTTCACATTGTTCCAATGTATCATATAACGGAAACTGAAATGAAATGAATGGAGTTTTACGTCGTACACATATGCACCTAATAGGGTAGATGAACCGAACACAACCACGCAGTGTGCAATGAGTATAAAACATTGCCAACGACAGTCGATTTTGCAACTATCGAGGGATATTTAACGTGCACAGCATGCAGAATACGGGACCTAGGTTTATTGTCCATCCGAACGATTTTATGCTTCTTCAATGTCAGTCCATCCGACTTGCATCACTGACAGGGGAAACTGATAAAAATACAACGCAATATACCGCATTAAAACCTCATCTCAGAGTTACCATATTAGTAATATGCTAGCCCAGGGAATGCTGCAAACGATGATATAACGATGCCGCGACAGTTGGAAATAGAATATGAGTGAGCGAATAGTGATACCCTGCCTAAATATCACTTCTTGTACATTGTACGGTATTCTTCGTCTTCACTGTCAATCGTGAGAAAAAGTTGGGAATTAAAACATACATGTATTTTTATTTAACTTGGTAAATACTGCAACACGAAACTAAGCTGTATAAGGAGAAAAAACAACATACAATTGCTCATACAAAATAACTAACACTTCACTTTAAACGGAACTCAAATTCATAAAATATGCATGAAATAACGAGTTTCTTTTGAATGATTCTTGATATACAAGAAGACGAAGTCAGTTGACCGCGAAAAAGGTAAAGTTTTTTCGTTTAGTAAACAGAAAATTTGATGCCTTAGAAGCAATATATCTGAAAAGAATTGAGACCCTGTGCGCGGCTTCGCTAAAGATGATTCAGATGGAAATGGCCTCTGTCCTTGCCTCTGTTCTAACACTGTATGACGTTTCAATTTTCTCGATCCCAATCCAAGTCGGATTATGTATTTGATATACACGTATAAGAAAAACCTCTACATACCATCATCAAGGGACTACAAGAAATTGAATTTATGACAAAAATGATGAAGCTATTATTCTTTTCAGGAACTTTGTGCTTTGATTGTTCTGATATCCTGACCGTTTTCATACGAAAACTATTCCAAGAAATAATCGATCTTATAAGTAGCAAATCAATAAAACCAATTAAATAACCAACTAACGGTATATACTTTTAACACGATATATTGAACTAAAGTAGTTTATTAGTGTTTCTGTTTACTATTAAGGACAAACTTTATTAGTAATTGGTCAGATGGAGCCTTACAATTGGTATCTATATAAAAGGATTATTGCGATCAAGAGCTTAAAAGCAGGGCGTAAATCTCCATTGTATTTCTTTAGGAACAACCCAACTATATACAATATACTGAAGCCTATCTTAATTGATAAATGTGTACTGCTCGACGAACTCACAAGAGAAATAGATTAGTGTTTATCAATAGAAATGGGTCACTGGACATTGGTCACTCGGTAAACAAGTTTGGTTACTACACTACACTTGTTGATAGATGACTAAAAAATCCCCACCTCGGCAATATTTCACTCTTAGTCCTGTGTCGAAGACGATATTGTTTAGTACTGCCATCTTGGATGGTCGAGGATGACTAACGATCATTTTGCATCTAGCTCACAAATATTTGAACATTTTGCTTTCACCTAAAAAATCTTTTGGACATATTGCGCAGCCTGAACAATATTTAGACATATTTCATTTACCTTACTAAACTTGCCGTCTTTTGGATTTTGTCCTGTGGTTTGCGGTCTGTGGTTTTGGGTATATATATACATTCAATAAGAATTTCAGACACAAGTGAAGATATACTACATGTACACCAGACAATCCCAATTCTGAAATTTGTGTTTATAACACGATAAAAACAAAATTGTACCAGACATAGGAATAAAATCCAGCATGTTGCTTTTGTGTTGAAAAATCTAGTGTGAAACAGTTCGAATTTAAAATGTTAAAATCAAATGGTGTGAAACATTATATTATGTTTATAAAATCATTCGTCTGCTATTAGTAAGAGGAATATTTTCCACGGCGCAGGATTTTATCACTGAATTTTCCTCTCTTAACGTGTCAAACAGGAAATATCAGTACATTAGTTTGGCCTAATTTCACATTTTGTAATCACACTAGTATAAGTATGAAATAATGAGTAATGATATAGATTTTTCGTGATCATTATAAAATATACACGAGTTGGATATATTATATTACCTTCAAGGTATGAGATTATTTGTAAGAGTATTATAGCAATATTTAGTGTTGGTTTTTCTCTGATTAAGATATTCGACGGCGGATCATACATAGTCTGCTGATTAAATTATACGACTGGCGTCATAGTGCATACAGTTAAGATTTCTTAGCTGTGAACCTTTAAGGGGCCGAAAGTAGATCTTCTGCATCTGGCAGAATGTAAGAGAAAATGGATGTTTAACAATTGCTGTAAGAACCTGACACATCTCTGGATTAAGGCTACTTGAAAAAATACATTTGCAGCGAGTTGCTAACTTTATCGTAGTTGATGGAGTTGTTAGCAGAATTTTAAACTGTCGATTAAGCGTAAGATAGACTGAAATAGATCCGATGAGATACACCATGACAAATGTCATATTACCTGTTAGCTAGCTGGACACGAACATATGAAATGAAATGTGTTTTACGTCCTAATTTTTTGCTACATGAAGACGGGCAACGCCATGCAGGGTGCAATGAGATAGATTTTGCCAGATCAGCGGCATTAGCCTGCTCTTTTTCGATTTCCAACTGTCGGGGGATCTTTAAACAGCCTGTAGCAAACTGAGCCTCGGTTTATGGTCCCATCTGAATGACTAAACGAGAAGGACACAATATTTAGTATATTGAATAAGGTGTCGTGAATTTCCAGTCCACCTATTATTTGATTTGAACTTATTTATTGACATTGAAGATTATAATTTTTTATTTTCTATTTTCAGATAATTAAAATGCAGTCGGCACAGAAGCAATGTTGTTGCTGTGCCTGTAGTGTTTTCTCAGCGTTGTTTGGTATAGTGATGGTGTCCACCGGAGTGTGTTTAGTACTAAATTATGGCTTAATTGAAATAGATATAAGTGGGCTACCGCCCCAGTATCAAAATGAAGAAGGCAAAAAGATTGTAGGAATTATATTAATATGTGTGGGATTGAGTGCTATGGGAATAAGTGCTATTGTCAGTATATTATATTATACCATCTGTTCTAGACCAAAACCCCAAATATCGTCCCTGGACATGACCTCAAACTCCGAATGCAGTTCATCATCATCGAACAATTCCACTAAACCCAAAGTCCGACCAAAACATAAAACGGTACAGGATTTGAAAAACGGTGCTCGATATCCATCAAATTTAGCTCCCCCACAACGGACTAAAAGACATAAAAGAAAACCACCACAATATCAAACACGATTGCCTACACACCGTGAGGAAGGTGATGTTAGTAATCTTATAGTCACTTATTCTGATGGCGAAGCTATAATTAGTCAAAATAAAAATAATAGTAACAGTCAGCAAAACATTAACCAATCAAATTTAAATAGTGCTAGTTCCTCAGACGATATTCATTCCAAGCAACCTGTGATAATATGTGTTGACTCATTTCCACCAGTGACAGGAGTCACTAATGACGCTTTCACTGACGACTCTCTAAGTCTCACGCAGAATACTCACGTGGAACCCAGTGATATCAAAACACTAGATGATGATATCAATCACTTAGTGGCATGATATTTGAAATATCAGTGGTAAATATACTGCTTTTGTGTTAACCAGAAAATCTAACGATTTTCTTTTTCCTGAGATTTTCCAACCATCCACCAGAAATGACGAGTGAGAAGGTCACAAAAGTGATTCGTCATCATGAAATTATGTAATAGGATTTACAATTAATCATATCATCATTAACAATGTTCACGATCATTAAATATATATATTTTATAGCTCAGAGACCTATATTTTGATGAATTATTTACATCCATTTGAGAATATTTTTGTTTCATCAGTAAATGTGTTTTTCTTATCAGCATTGTATCTAATTGTTACAATGGAAAAATTTTTGGTATTTGAGTTTGTTATTATGGCAAAATGCTTGATGTTTGGGTTTGTTACCATGGCAATATGCTCGGTGTGAGACTTGTCACCATTGTTCACTTTGTCCATGGACTTACCACAATTACATTTACCATTACTTGCCTAGATTTTGAACCGTTCCATACATTTGAATAAGTACTTGTCATCTTGCGTTTACCATTCCATGATATGTGTATGGACTTGTTACCATTACATTTACCATTACTTGCTTGGTGTGTGGGTAGCTTGTTACCATAACATACACCATTACAGACACGATGTTTGATCTTATCACCTTGCGTTTACCATTCTATGATTTGTGTATGGACTTGTTACCATTACACTTACCACAATATGCTTGGTGTTTGGGTAGCTTGTTACCATACACCATTACAGACACGATGTTTAATCTTGTCACCTTGCGATTACCATTCCATGATATGTGTAAGGACTTGTCAACATTACATTTACCATTACTTGCTTGGTGTTTGGGCTTGTAATCTTATAATGCTTCGTTGAAGAGATTGTCATCAATTATATGCTTGGTGTTTGGGCTTGACAAATAATAATATGAATATGTAATTTATATAGGGTTTCTGCCTCGATAGAACGAACGAGATACACTCAAAACATTCAGACCTTTTTTAATTAGAAAAATATAGGTGTAATTCAATCACAACTATGAAGACGTTGTTATTTGTGCATTGTATAGTTTGTTTAACAATCGAATAACAATAGTCATTCAAGTCATAGCTCTGTATATTCTTAATAATACTACTGTTGACAGCTATATGTATAATGAGAATTATCTGGAATCTGTTTTTGTGTATTTTAAATGGATTGTAAAGAGGTTTTCTAAACGTTTTATATATATCGGGGACAAACCTTAGAACCTTTGTGATAGTCACGCCATAAAAGGCCCAGTTTTAGTCAATTGTAATATCCAAACATGTGAGATGTTATCAATGTCCCCGATTTTAGAAAACATCCTTACAATCTCTTGAAATGATTACCATATCGGTCTGCTTTTATTGATCGTAAGAAATGGCATCCAGGTTTTAAATATATACTGATTGTTTCTACCCCAAAACAATATACATGGAGATTTGCTAGTGGCTTTGAATCTCCTGGAATGTGCATACTTACAGCTATTTATTTTGTTGTGTTATGTTTTAGCTGAGTTGTCATAACCTTTTATTGATTTTTGCCAGATAAAGAACCGTTTGATGTACCTAATATTTGACATAATTAATATTTGAAATCCCATAACCTGTGATAATATATCAGTGTTAAAATATACTTCATAAACTTACTAAAATGACTTCATAAAAGTAAAAGCAATGTAAACCATTTGACCGTGATTCGATTCCAAACATTACAACGAACAGAAATTATAGATGTGAAATTATATGGTTATTCAATCACTACTAGCCAGACCTCATATATAATCATTGCAACTTAAATTACCTCTGAATAGAGCAGACTGTTCATGTTGATGATTTCAATTGTACCCGATGGGCAAATATCTTGGCTCGACTAGGCGCAGCAAGAGAATTATTGTATACCATTATAAAATGTTCCATAAATGTTATGTTTCTGACGAAATCCCAATGTGTTTGGTTGCCGGTCAAAGGTTACTAAAATGTCTGTTGTGTTCGTATGTTTGTTTTACAATAATGGAACTATTATTTTGTGTTTTCGAGATTATTTCAGTTATGTAAACGTTACTGTTCTCTGTTATTTATGTAAATTTGAAATAAACCACAGATCTCAATAACCTTGTGATTTATTGGTTGTCCCGAAGGAAAGCATAATTAAACGAATCAATTTGTATAGCTGTAGACCAGCAATTTATGCAAGTGCTTTGTTAGAATTGGAACTGAACTAATTCTTGTAATATGGGGATACCATTCCAGAAAATGGAAATTGCTTAATAATTTCGAACTTTTTCTATTTAGTGGCGACATGGAAATACTTCTTCCAAATAAGACGAGATTCTAAGGCATATCGTAATACATAAAATGTACCTTGCTATTGTTTAAACATTGCGCATTAAGATTTTGAATTAGAAAACCACTAGAATATGATATCCTCATTCGTGAATAGCATAATGAATTGTGCACTTCAATAAATAAATATACGCCCTGTATATACACTGAACAAATTAAATATTTAATAAGGATTAAGTTTTGTAAAATCAGTTTATTTCTCGGGAAATGTCATAATGTTATAGTATTATATACAAATTATTTATATTGATTATCATACAATGGACGGTTCGAATGCATATGTACAATATATTATACTATACATAGAATGCATGCGTATACATGTGTATATGCAGGCTACAATTAAATAGCATGCGTGTATCTAAACAGCAACGGGTAAATGCTCGTATGTTAAGTCTAAGGTTGTTTTGGACCACATAACCGGGTTAAGAACTGCTATGACAAACGATCCACGCCAACAAAATCGTAGCTTGTCTGGACACATTGATAAGTAAATCTTAGTTTCGTATTGGACATCTTGGAGTAGAGATCCAGTAATATGCCATCGATACTTTTCGGATAAAATATTTTAATCACTGATTTGCAGATCAGGTAAATGTCAATATCGGAACTTAGACTTCGGCATGAATACAACTGTGTTACACTGTTCGTATCGGGTTGCGGTTATTCTTAATGTAGATCGGCGGTTTCAAACAGTATGGAAACCTCGTATGAGTACATAACCTTTTCGTTTTCTCTGAGTATTTTTGTCCACCTTAGACAGTGGCCGAGACCACTTAGAAGAGCAGTTAGATACAGATGTCAACATTACCTACGTATTGGTAATAAACACCAAGCATAACGGTATGTTAGCTCGTATCCGCAAGTAGCTTTTTGGAAACCACAGAAATGCATCGAGGTGCAAATAACGTGTAGTCTTTAATGGCGTAAAATAGATTTTTATACTCAAGAGCAATGTTTCGAATACATGTTATCATAGGTCTACTGATTATTAAGCCATTTTCCTTTAATTCTGCTAAAAGCTTCGTAGCATTTAAAAACAATCGATAAAGTAAATAAGTTTGCGGTGGGTGTAAGATAGGATACCCAGACTTGATAAGAAACCTTGATTAATTATATATTATCAAAAGCAAATAAGATCATCCATCATGAAGGTAACAATTTCCAGATCATTTAACTATCTAATTTCTAAAGAAAAGAAATGGGATGTGAAGTTTACAAATCAGTTACATCAAAGGGTTTTAAAAGGTGGTTGAGGCTGCCTGGGTTCGTTAGCAACACTAGCTATACGGTGCGTATTACAGTGTAGGGTAATTCTATAACAACTTGCACTCGAGGTCTTTATACTATTTGTTCGAAGAATGACATGGGAGACATACTTGTTCAGTTCACAAGCAGAGCAGATCTATGGGTAAACGTCTCAGGCCCGTACAGGTACAGATGAGATTGCTCGACTGAAAAAAAAAATTCTGAAAACCGACCAATTCCAATGCTATATAACTTGCTCCCCTCCCACATTTTTCACATTCCAAAAGGCACGAAACACTGGAACATTCGACAGTCTACTTCCGGTTTTTTTCAGATAACTGACGATGCATGAAAGCCCGATTTCGAATTAACGGTTCCATTCTGATATTAAGCAGTAGGGCATAAACCTCCATTGTATTGTTGATGTTAACCAGTTACTTAGACCAAAGAAGACAGTCTGCTTGCTAATTCTTCGCCTTTAAAAGATTCAAATGTTATACCGGAAGATCCCACTCCCTTTTTATAATGATGTTCAATGATCCAAGCCTCAATATTCCTTAAAATAAAAATAAACAAAATAAAATAAAAAGAACCGTTTAAGATCATGCATATATATCATATATTATATATCTCACTGAAGCCACTGGATATCCATAAAATCGGAAATTAACTATTTCCGATCCATCAGCTCCATTTTAATTGATACCCATAAATATTGACCTAAACACTAAATGTTCACGTTTTTTCGATTATTCGCAAAACAGTTGTGACCGTTAAAACGTTTTTTTTTTGTTTTATCCACTGGGACAATTTTAACCATTAAGTACACTGATATGGCATTCGAGATGAAATAGAACAAGGGAAGTAATCACCATTATTAATAATAAGTTGCCGATGTATCACACACGCAGCAAGTGTTTGCTTACGAACCACGGATCGATTTACGTTAAATATGGGATACACACCTGTTTGAGGAGTAATCAGGTAACGGACCAGAAGAATCACTATACCACGGTGAAGGCGACACTTTGGCTTTACTGGCATCACGTAGCATTTTAGGAGAAAACTGCACATTGGTTTTGTGTTTTATTTTCCCTTTCTTTGGTACGCGCAGTTTAAGTGTTCGTTTGACATGTTTTTGCCCAATCCACCGTATTCTCTTCCTTTGTTTGTTCCGAATGTATGCCGATAAAACCATTATCACAGGCCCCGCTATAAGTAGTAAAACACCGATGACTTGCACGTATATTTCTAAATTTTGTTCAATAGCACCTTCGAATGCTAACACACACAATATTATTCCCAAATGGAATAACAGAAATCCGAGAAGACCAACATAAGCCCAACTCTCCTTTTGTACTGTATGGAATAGATCGGACATGGTTGTAACACTTTTATGACTGATCCATTATTATAAATGGTTATCCGTATTGTATTAATGGTTATCCTAATGGTATTAATGGTTATCTTAATGGTGTTGATGGTTATCCTATAATTTATGGTTTTTCATTGCAGTATCATTAATATTGATTGCAGTTATCGTAGCCTTTAAATTGATACAGAAAACCAAATTTCACATTAATATCGTGATCTTAATCGTGTTCGTAAATTACAATTGCTTAAACATAACTGTATACATGACCAGCCCACCACCAGTGCCAATAAAATTCTAACAGACACACAATGGAACACGCAATCATTTGTTGAATCTCACATTTCTATGCAATAATGTATCATATCAGTACCCCGGTATTGATGTGGTAAAGAATTAACTGACATAAATGTATCATTTACATAAACCAAGGTATCTGAAACACTGCCTTATCACCAACTTTGGTGAATCATAATGGTTATCATTTGCGTTGGTAATGTTAGTTTTAAAGATACATAATCAAAAGAATTAGGTTGTTCAAGCACTAGCAGCACTAAATATCAGCACAAATTCAAGCAGAGTGCATCATCAATATAATCACATGTATCAACGTAGCATACAGATGTATGTATCAATGCATATAGCGATGTATTATGGGCGTACTGATATGTATCATTGAAGCATTGTCACAATTCCCTACAGCATCAAGCTACAATGTACCATTTTCAAAATCACATACATAAATATAGTTTATCAAAATTACTTTTATCACCACAACACTATCACAAATATCACAGGCAATGTATATTTCACTTTAGTTATCAAATGTATCTTCAGCTATGTGATCAATTTTTTTATTTTGAAAAGTTGAGCATCCAGAATAAATGGTACGTTCACAATGACATCCAATCAAATTTAATAAACTACTTAAATTTGTTCTGCGATCCTGTTTCCACCATTATAATTATTAAATCATGTTAGATAACATAATATTGTGTTGACTGTTATTTATCTGTGTACTTTATCATGTTCAGCCAACATCAACATAATGTAGTTCAAATTGATTTCTCGAACATAATCTCGTTAACATCTACCAGCATTCTGTTATATGATGCTTTTTATCTATTTGCATGAGTTTTCAAGTCTGTTTATCAATTCAGTCTGTATATCTGAAATGAAGACTGATGGCAATATACTTCAAAAACATCATCTAAACTATTAACGGAATTGGTATGGTCTTTCATTTCACAAACTCGTACCATTTAAAATCATTCTTTATTCCCATGGACTGGTCTTATGGTTACTAAGTAAAATAAAAGAAATTAGTAGAATATATTGTTTACGATCAAATACCCAAGCGACTGCAAACAATTACGGATACTATTGAATAAACAGAATAAGAGTTGATTCAATACAATTAATGTTATTGATAAGAGTGGGTTTCTAAATACAATAACTTATACTAATTACTGAATTATATTTCAGTCAACATGCCATTCGAGTTCTTTTCCCTAAAGACCACATAAACTCTCATTACAAGAGGCACGTATAGTTGGTTGCATGGCAATGGTATGGAATTAATAATAAACAATCCAATTTAATTTTTTCTAGTCTATGCTACTTTTTATTAGAACTTAAAGGTTTCGAAAGGGTGCAAGAAATGTCGTTGTTAGTAAAATTCTGCGTGCCAAATAAAGGGGCAAATTTGATAAATTGAAATTTTCGAAATTCAAAGAATTAGTTTCTGATGGACTTAGGGAACATTCCGCTTTTTTGTAGCTCGAAAATTTATTTGCTCAAATTTGTGAAACTATACACCAAAATCTAGAGAAATATGCCTCTTAACGTATCTGAAAGTTTTAGCTGAAAAAATCCAGCCGTTAATTTTTTAAAAGGCAAAACTGTTTAAAAACTACTGTACGGGTTTAAGTAAAATAAACGCCTACTTGTAGAGAAATATGTCTCTTACGTATTCTTAAGATTTCAACTAATGATATTGGGCCATTATAAAGCCAAACAAGTTAAACTGCTTAATTAACAATTAGCACTCTTCGTTTTTAATTAACCCTTTTAAAAAAAAATCAGTCTGATATCAATTAGATACATAGATATAAAAAGCATAAATATTTTGAGGTATAATTAACAACATTTTTGATAATCAAAATAGTTTACAAAAAGGCGGAATTCATCCTTAAACATGACAATTTCAAAACATTAACTATCCACAATCATTTTTGTGCTTCATTTCAATTTTGAAAAAAATTATGGCAAAAATATCGAGATAAATCGCTGATCAATTGATACATTTTATATTTTACGCTTATCAAGAAAATACATTAGAATATGAATTTTAAGAGCTTAAACCATGAATGGATAAAATTTGAATTACGGAAATGTTTGTATGGGACAGATAGACTGCTTGCTTGAAACAGAACGGTCAAACACGAGGCAATGAATCATTTAATGTCATTGTATTGACACTTCACTATTTTACAAAATTGCATACTTCACATGATAATTTACACCACTATGTTCTCATCACCATCTAACCTCACTCAATGTGGTATATTTTTGCCAAAAAAAAAAGTCTTAGACCAAGTTTTCTATAAGATGAAACTACAAAATTATGTCATGCTGTGGAATCCCAGTAAGACAAAAAAAAAGAAGAAAAAGCAGAATTCATTCTTTGTTGTTGTTTTTTTCAAATTTGGGTTTTGCTGAGTTTATACCCGGTCTATATGGATATCCTCAAAGACTTAATTACTTGGATTAATTATTACCTCAAAGACCATGGCTCCTACCTGGTTTGATACATTTTTAACTTTTCATTGTGAGCGTCATAATCAATGTTAAATTTTAGAATAATTATTCGCTGAAACATGTATACAATTATGAGATTTCCATTAGCAAGTTTTTAAAATGTGCTTATTGTGATTCTCAAATGCGTTTTCGCCTTTAAGAACGCCACTATCGCAAATAACCGATCGGCACGAATACTTTGGAAAGTTAGTTAAAATCAGTTCAGGTCGTCCTAGAATCTCAGGAACCATTGGATTGGAAATGAGAATAGTCCAATGTTTGTTCCCGACTCATACAAAGAATACAAAACATCTGAGGTCTCAATGGATTATGGTTATATTTAATGGCATAACTTGCAAGTTTTCGTAATAACCTTAAATTGTCAAATATGTGTGAATATCGAATACTGTACAAACTGTTTTAAAACTCATAGCAAAGTTTTCAATTTCAATTCCAAGAAGTTTTTTTATGGACATCAGTTATAAGATTGTAACTTAAGTCAGAAATAATCAATTCCAGAAGTCGTTTTTATCACATCACAGGTGCCCTATTATCGAAAATGACTCAAATTCGCAGTAACAAATAACAAAACCATAGCATAAATCGTCATAATATTACCTTTAAAACCCAGAACTCAGAAATATAACAGACTTACCTGGTAACTATAGTTATTCCATTTAATTAATATCAACCTGATTCAATTATATTGGTATCAATGTATATGAAATATTCATAGTAAAAATTTCTAGTGAAATACAGATGTACTGATCAATACTGCTGTAGCTATTATTGTTAGTAGTCCCACACGATTTTCATCAATATACTATATCCGACATATGGTACTATTATCATTCATGAATTAAAATCACATTATACCATTATTTATTCAAAATCGTAGTAGAATTTACATGTGTTGCTGGTAATAGTTTTTGATGCCTCATCAATTTTGACGACTTTGGAATTTTGATTTACCAAAAAGATAGAAGAACTGTGATTTTGTCGAATAAGGTAAAATGAAAATTATGGATGGTTATATTTATACCGACCTCTTTGGATCTAAATTTCCTCGCTTTACATACCCGAAGTTTACGACTTCGACACATAAATTAATATAATTATCACCTTCGTGAAGTATTAGCTAATCCAACGGAACGATTGTTCTAATTGTCATTGTAACAATAAATAAACCAAGTATTTACGATCCTAAAACATCACTAAAATATAACTGACTGAAAACCGTAAGAAAAGCTCGAAAATGATTTAGTTAAATGAATTAATATTTCAAGATCTTTTACTTTCTGAGATCAATCAGTTTTTAGCATTGTAATTTCGAAACCACCTGCTTGGTTAAGTTTAACAAATGATGGCCTGGGGCTCTAATCCCAGTCGTTGTTTGAAAAGTATCGCGACCTGGAATAAGACATGTTTCCTGTTGACACAGATGTAAATAGATACGGAAAAGATCAATTCCAAGGACAAGCTGGAAGACGGAATCCTGTCTAACCCTTTCATAAAAAAGAATGTATAAAAATGTATGATATAGGTACATCAACAAAGTGAAATATTTCGTACATACCGTGGGGTTAATTTTATTTACTAGTTTTATGTATGTAATATATTAGGTACAATGACTATAATGGACTGGAACCATGCAAGTACACAATCAACTTGACAATGATTCTATAGATAGTTATGGAATACTGTGAATGCAATTCTCCTTATTGCCATACTAATTATACCCCAGTCAATATATTTATACCTACTGGTTGTCTTTAATCAATATCTATTTCAGAAATTTTTGCTTTAAAGTCACCTAATCGTCATAAAATATTTCAATTATTAACATTAAAAAGAATGTACACATGAAAGGTATTGTAAAGAGGTTTTCTAAAAAAAATATTTATAATAATATAATGTAGGCTATGTTATGTATATATAATAGTATCAATTTGCACTAAACGAATTTTCAATCAGACGTCTATGGTTCCTGCAAACTATATGAGTGATGACTCAACTAACCGCGAAGGTCCTTACGTTTGAAAGGATATTTTGCGGTTAGTGACGTCATCAAACACTTAGTTTCAATGTAATTGCAGGAACCACAGACGTTTGTTATTAACAGAAAATTTAGAAAACCTCTTTACAATTCCTTAAATATTATAGTAATTTTTTCTTTAAAGTGGCAAATTTGACGTAAAAAATTCTCAATATTAAAATTAAATTGAATGTGCTTAATGATAATTTGAAGGGCTATCCCGCTACACTTTCAAATAAGAAAGGTCAACAAACGTGTCATTCTTTTGAATCATCGCCCCCTCCCCCCGCTCGAACAATCAAGTCTGACTACGGACCTGAACATCTGTTTGACTCAGAAGACTCCTATATAAAATGTTCGTACAGAATCGAGATTTCATTTGTACAGTTATTCGCTCAAAAAAATAGCAATATGCTACATAATATTACGTCTTATATTACATATTATTCAAATTAGATTCAAATCGGCATACACAATCTAATCTAAAGAAAAGAAATGCAAATAAATACACCAACAAACACCCACCTGTTTTCATAAAATGAGAAATTATAAGATCCAGAATTTAAACATGGTAACCATAAACAGTGTAACTTCGTTGAAAAATGCTTAGTTGAAAATAAGGTCAATTAAAAACATGACAGCTGTTTCCAATATAATATAACTATACGATAACATAATAATTTATTCTGTATGTCATCATATTCAGGTCTTATTTCAAGTCAAAATATTATTTTCTGAAGTAGGTTACGTTGTAATTACACTTTCCTGGTGTTTTGTAGGCTACCGATTGTAGGTCAGGATGATTGCTATAGATTTGGATGATAATCGGACATTTTTGAACGAACTAAAGCATTACAAATTTGCATTTATTTTTAAATGTGCATTATTGTTGTGTCGTTCTTACTAAGCAGAATGCATCTTTTCATGGACTCGTTTCAGGAATATTACTGGTCCAGTATTTTGGTATTGAGGATTCAATTAGCTATTGATAAATGGTCTCCGACAACTGGGAAGACCTTTCTTAAGTGATGGGGCGGACTGAGCATCTCTATGGCCCTCACCCAAATACCCCAAGTGAAAACGAAATTTAGCGATCCCTGCTTGTTTCGTTCCCTAGCTACCTATGATATTTTTTTTCATCAAACTAAGGCTATTACATTTTTAGTTCGAAGAGACTTTTCGAAAAATATTCGTTCAGAAATATTTTGAACTCGGAACCATAGGGCTCTTAGTCCAGTGGTTCGATTCTCAGTTCGCCCCTGAAAAGAGTACACATCTAACCGGTTATCAACATCGTTTTCAGTGAGATTTTTATTCGTAAAGGACAGAGACACAATAACAAATTTTATTCTTAAATAAAAACAAATGCAAAAAAATTAACAATTTCCTTCAACTAACTAACAACGTTCGTCAATGTTCCAATTCACTGTTGGTAATTGGTTGGGTTTTAGCTAAGCCATCTGATAAAATAAACGAAGTTTCATCACTAATACTGCCAGATTTTCTTCTACTGAAAAGTAAATGGAACTACGATTAGGCAATTTAATTTACTATCTGCATGTTATGCACATGTGCATGTTGGTTAGGTCATGTGGATCTCAATGCTGACTAGGTCATGTGGATCTCAATGCTGACTAGGTCATGCAGATGTTGATGTTTATTAGGTCATGAATGCTGATGAGGTCATAAATTATGTTAGTTGGGTCATTTAGACCTGACTGTTAATTTATGTCATGCAGATGTCAATGTTGGTTAGGCCACGCAGAACTAAATGTTAATCAGGGTCATGAAAATCTTAATGTTATTTAGGTCTTGTACATCTGTTAGGTAACATTATTAATTGGGTCATTTGGGATCGGATCGAAATGTTTTCTAGGTCATGTCGATCTGAAAACTGACATGGTTATGTTGATCTTCATGATGATTGAGTCTTGAAGATCATGATGAGGGCATGTATATCTTAATTTTTATCTGCATGGTAATTGAGCACTATTTTAGTAGTGACAATATATTGTTATTGTATGTAGATCTGAATTTTGATAAGGGCATGTATATCTTAGTTTTGACTGGGTCGTGTTGATCTGCATGGTAATTGGATCATGTAGATCTGAATGTTTATTCAATCACGTATATCTGAATGTTGATAAGCTAATGTAAATCTGAATGTTATTAAGGTCATTTTGATCTGCATGGCAATTAAGTCATAAAGAGCTGAAACTTGATTAGGATCATGAATATCTGTATGATAATAAGGTCTAGTATACAGTCTCTCCTAATTGTTACTGTTTCAACAGGTATGCCAATGAATGATCTTCCATTCGATGTTCAGTCACATTAATTCTTGTAACTTGTCAAGAATCGGGCAAAAGAACATTAAAATTTTATATCTATTTTCCTCCTCACAATGAGTTGGAAATAATTTGTTTTGCCTACCTGTCCATATCTGTATTATCAGAGCTTGATCCTTCTAACATATTGGTTAATGATAGGGACCTAGGTGGGGGATTCACCGGGAACGATAAAAAGCGGGCATTTTGTTCCAACACTTCCACTGGTGTTAGTTCCACATCTTGAGTAAAAAATATGGAAGAATCGGATAAAATGCTGAGTTCACTACTAGCAGACAATATAGTTTGTTCTTTCCACACTTCCACACGAGGAACAGACATAGACGTTCTACGAGTAAGAGATGTTTGACGAGATTCAGATGTTCGTGGTGTGTGTGTTGACGAGTTGGCATCAACGAGTATTTCAGTAGGTAAAGTTGGTAAAGATTTTCTTGACACACCTCCAGCACTAAGTATCCTTAATCTCTCTCCTTCATTGTCTTCATTTACAGTCGGAAGTTTAACTGAGTTATTTATTATGGCATCCTTGACTCCTCGAGAATTTTTCCTCTTCGGTCTAGTCTTTCTAGGAGATTCTTTATTTTTGACAGATCCATTTGAATGTCTTTGTCTCGAAGACTTGCGAAGAGTCCTATTTCTTTTACCATCCACCCTTGGCAATTCCTGGTTCGGTACTTCGACACAAGGTTCGTCAACAGGCATTTTCTCAGGCTGGGGTGTCATTTTCCTTTGAAGTCTACCACACACTAATATCAAAACACCAAAAGATATACAAACAATGGACAGAGTAAGTAAAAGTATCCCACAGATATGAATTACTCCAAAGTCAGGAAATGAAACAAATGCTATTGCGACCAGGATTACTGATGGTACTAGGAGAGGAACACCAAACGTCAGCAAAACTCGTGGTCTACATAGGTAGGAACAACATTTAGTATCCTTCCCTGGACTGCTTGCAGCCATTTAAATCAGTGAACACTGAAACAAAACAACAAAACTATGAATTTATGTGTATAACAGAGCATATCGACGTTTTCCAACGGCTATAGATGGATTTTTAGTTCCAAGTTGGTCTGGAATAATTAGTTATCATTAAGGACAAAATTAACCTAAGTGACTTATTCCAATGAAATCTCACTTTTTACATCACTTCCCATTATCACCTCTTTACTGGACAATAAAATCGTATTATTTTGTTAGATCATAACCTGTTTTGTTTGGACTAAAAATATTTTGCCCATAAATAATATGCCCAAGATTATTCAAAACCGGTGGTCCTCAACCTTCATGATCCAATTCCTCACTTTTTCTCCGCCTTTCACTTCTTGTACTGTAAAACATCAAATAACTAAAAAATCAATGCACTAAAATTTGGATAGTTTTCGATGATATCTGTGTCAAAACACATGCACTGGTTCTTTGCTCCTACAGCTCAGGAGTCATTCTGAGGATCAGCGATTTCATGTTGGAACTGGTGCTCATTGTCTCTTTTATTACCAAAATTCACCCCTTTGTGTATAATAATTCACCCCCAAGCCCCCTTTATTCCAAATTTCACCCCGAAGCAAAGTCTGATCTCCTTAATCCTACGTAATGTTGTACAGAAATGGAGCAGGCACATACTCTGAAACACAGAATGCTAATCTACATCTGGGTTTGTCTACTGGGCCTCATTTACTTCATATAGCTAATATTATATACAGGGTAATTACATGTATAATTATGCTTTACGCATAAGTGTTTTATAATAATAATTTCAAATCTCTAATTTATGTCCCGAAGGAACCATAGTAAAAAATCATATAGCAACTTGTACAAAATGACAAGTTATATTTTGAAAAATTCATATATAAATAAATAGTAGTCGTAACGATGAAAACATTTTGAAATTCAGACCGTCTTTTAAACACTCTTATATTGATATTAATGAAACATAAAATTGACTTTCCCTTTTTTAAGAAATTTACCCCCACCCCTCCAACCCGTTTGAGAGAGTGGATTAGTAACGAACCAACGATCCCTCACACGTTAAGTATCATGATAACCTATGTATCTAAACACAAAATGATCAGTTACTACCTTAAATCAATTTAGAACATCAATTTTTACACTTTAATATATGAGTTAATGAAATGGATACCCTTACCTTTAGTCATAAGGAAAACGTCATTCGTTTCCTTGAAATCGCCATGTTGTTATATGCGTTGCCTGTATACAACATAATTGGGGTCGGGTATAAATAGCCTAGTATAATATCACATAATAGATGTTATTTTGATTATAAGTGGTTATTGTAAATATAGGGGTTTATATATACTTGACTGAGTTGTGACATTGTCATATACCACTATCCAATTCAATCCAATTTGAACGAGTGAATTGTCACCTAGCTACAAAGTACATACGATAGCGATTTAATAGTTGGAAATTGCCTAGCCTTTATTTTACCGCATAATGAAATTTGATGTATACCTATATTGGTAAAAGTTAATATTCAACCCCCAGAAGTATTTTATCAAAATTAAACTTAAATGAAAAAACATAGTAATTGTACCATTAATCGCATTGTGAAATAGCGAAACCACGAAGAAGAGTAAATTCAAAGTTTTTTCGTTATCCTTCAATTCGTCAGTTATCGTGAAAAGGGTCCAAAATGGCACGCTTTGATTGGTTACGAATATCTTCATTTGAACGAGACTGTGGCAGAAAACGTGTTAGATTACGTTGGGGACGAAATGTTGAATGTTCGTTTTCGACTTAAAGACATTGAGCCCTTGGCATATGAACAATCTTACAAAATCATATCAAAATATTAAGTTTCGTCTTAGAAAAATTCTGAATTCGCCCAAAACATTTGGTACAATTTACTATGTATACAAATCCAAATATTTATCAGAGATGAGATAAGAGTCTGTAATGCCTTAAAGCACAAGGGCTGAATATGCCCTAACGAAAATTGATCTGCTTATGAAATGAGCTCAAGTAACCTTTAATAATTACTTATACCATGACTTAGTTTTTTCAACTTATAGAAGGGATATACAGGTCAATGACGCATGTCTAACGCATGTTTTTCAATCAATAGAGTTCCCTTTCTTATGGTTTTTTATGACTTGTCTATAGACTAGCCATATAATATTAATGTTAAGTTATTGTAAATCTTTTATTTCGAAACATATTCAGTCAGTGACCTTCACCATTGTTTGCTGTTCGAATCACTTCCAGATCAAATGTCGAAATCTTCTAATGCGTTATTGATATATGTGCTCGTGTCGCTTTTGTAACTGCATACCAATTAGGCGTAGTTTCTTAAAAAGTGTTGTAAATAATAAAGATCCTAAACAAGTCTTACAATCAGTATGTGTTCTCGAGCACCAGTAGGAAAATATCGTGCATTCAGTGTTATTTTCAGACAATTAACATAATAGGTGAAATTTTTTCTAACAGATATTTTCAACTTTTATGAAAATTGTGTTCTGCTACCAATGATGTATATGTACAGGATAATAGCAATGATTTTATATTGTTGTGTAATCCAGTTTCTATTTATCAATCCAAGGGAGATAATAGATACTTAAAGTATAGGTTTTTCTTTTGTGTGGAAGAGAATGCTATATTAACATTTGGTATCATGCTTGGGATTACATCATGATGTTCCGAACCCATCATAATAGAGATGTAATGCGCGGCAATGTAATTCAATGTAAAAATATATCGAAGGTGCTTGCTGGCTCAGGGAGCTATAAATTTTTTCTCGCTAACTAAGGTCTTTGGTTCGATTTCGATAAAGGTTGGGACACCATCCAATTTTAACTCAGCTTTCCCCGTAAGTGATTGGAAGGGTGCCAGGTCGTTGGAATCAACAGAGTCACAAATTTATACTTTCTTCCAGCATATCAACATTTCCAGAAACTATGTTGAGGATCAATGGCGGCATAAAACCAATGTCATGGTAGCAAAACAATATTCAAAATAGCCATTTTATTTAACAATATCACAATCTGAGTTTGGAAATGTAACATGTATAATATATAAAACAGTAATATCACATATTATCCATTTTGAAAAGAACAAAAAGGCGATTAACCGATTTCGACAATGAAATTGAGCATAATTTGAAGTTTAAAAACGCCGAAACTAAAGTCGACCTCTAAAATAAATAACCGTAGCCTGTGCTTCCAAGAGTCGACTTTCACCCCCAAATACCTAGTGAAATAATGAAGTTTAAAATATGTTTGCTGAGAAGGAATATAGACTTATTGAGACCAATTTTGACTTTATATATCTGATCCTTCACAACCTTTTAGTTTTCTATCAGATTTATAATGAATATTTACAGTGATACAGTGTGTCAAAACATTCATCAAAATTTTTTTTTACAAATATGACATTAGTTTCAATATTAATTATTGCTTATCATAATATACATTTCAAAAATAGTCTTGATCGTCCCTTCTTGGGTGCTTACAGCTCCTACCAACAATAATTCATAGATTTTAGATACTTCGAATTGTGAATGTTAACAGTCAGCACCATTGGTGGATACAATATATTGCTTTATAGCGAATTAAAAAAATAGAAAAAACTGAATTGATATGAATTTGTTGACATTAATAATAACAGTTTGAGACTTCATTAAATATTGATGTAGGTAAAAGGTTTTAAATCGAAAAATACCAATTAATATGCTTTATCTTCTATGATTTGAGTTTTGTGTGATATATAGTTTTTAATGGATCATTGTTTACATATGATATTTGATCATAATAACTAAGCTTTTGTTTTTGCTGTACAATAAAAGGCCTGTTGAATCGTTCTTATTAATGTTAATTTCGTTTCGGTATTTTATTCCATAGAGGATTACGGAATGAAATTAAGGAATAAGCGAAAGAATATTAAACGAAATAATTATTAATATCAAAAGGCAAATTTCAAACAAACTAGACTGAGGGTTTTCGATCCAGTAGAAATTAGATCGCACGAATAATGTCCTGAACTGTGCCTTGTTTCCTTTTCTTTTTTTATATCGATAAAATCATACCTATTCGCACCGAGGCAGAATGACAGGAAACTTAATTAGCCCACACTTTGTGGTATAATGGGCGGAAACACCAAAATTAGAAGCTTTTATCACTATACAGAACATAGCACATTTCTTCACATAGTATCATATTATATGACGAGCAAAAATAACTTAACATCTGACAATAACATACATAAGTGAGAAAAACACAATTTCAGCAGTATTATGGTAATTTATAAAAACATGAACAAATAATACTTACACAATATAAAGAATCAAAAAAGAGTCAAAAAGAGTAAAAAAAAAACCATTGCACCAGATAAGTTGAAAAAATTTAAAATTCTATAACAAAGATAAAGTCAAGAGTCTTATACAGATAAAATTTTAACAAATGATATTGCTATTATATTTAATTTAATAATTTAAAATACCAGAAAACGGGTTATTTGAGCTTTTTATATTCGTACTATGGCTTCCTAAGTTGTCTGATTGTATGTATGTTTTGAATGTCCTCGACATGGCATGAATACCTTTGACTAACTTTACTGAGATCTATAGGAAAACTGGTGGGAAATAACAAAAGCTCAAAATGAACCATCTTTGTGGGAAATAAACAATAATATACATTATAATCAAATTCTAAATTTTCATATAAAAATACAATTAACTATACCACTAAGCAATTTCAATTAAAATGCAAACCTTGATGTTCTGTTTCGTTTTCCCCGACTGGCCTCACTTGCAATCCATGATCTGACAAATTGTTATGCATCTCACGTTTTGAGTCATATAATATTCAACCAATTACTCCCTACAGTAAAAATGTCCTTACTATAATGTATATGAAAAATATTGGACTTTATTGTCTGTCGTTGTTTTTGATTGGTTAGCATACTTTATGACTTGACTTTTGACCCTATTTCGCATGAACATGATTTATAGAAGAATTTGTCAGATCAATAATGGCCAATGGAATCACCCTCAGACAAAATACGTTACCTAACATCAAGACAATCTTTTAATCAGATTGATGCCATTTTTTATAATAAATAAGACGTGAGCATTATTATAATACTAAAATATTAAAAAATTATCACAGTAGAATATGAGCGTATTAGAGCGATACAAAAAGATTTTCTAGCCTATGTATGTATAACAAGGGAAACAACAGCTTTTGTTTGCAAATTTCCTCTTTTCAGATCCAAGTCTGATTTCCAGTTTATGCAATTCTGGAAAAACGTGACCAGGCTTAAAATATATCTATCGCAAATACCATACAGTTTAATTGTATTTTGTGATTATAAGATCATAGATTAGACCCAGTCCGCGATACACATATTGAGGCTAAAAACTCACTCTCTCCCCTTCAGATCATTGCAAAAACATCTTCCAATGAAAATAGTCATGTATTTTCCTATAATTCTAAAATTTGTCACAACTAGTCCTTACATTTTCTCAATCTCTAATATGCAACCTTCAACTGGTCTCGGGTTTGGTTAGGGCTAACCCTTAAAAGCATGCCAAACCAATTTAACCTCAATAAGAGAAGAGTTCAGAATCTCTCCTTAAATATTCTTCCTTATTAGTCCTAATAATATGTCCAGATATACTTTCAGTGGAGGTATAGCTTGTATTATCATAGGACCTTTCTGATAAAAGAGCTCTTTGACGTTCTTGGTGAATATCTGGCAGATCCCCTAAATGTGTTTTATTGGCTTGCTGTAGATGATCGGGACTAGTGCGGTTAGTTTCATCAATAATGGACATTTCTTCGTCAGGTTTATCTTGACTACTGTAACTACAATAAAAAAACATATAGTGAAATTGCTATAGGATTATCGATTAGTTCCAATGAAAAATGGCGACATTTCCTGTGAAACAATAGGCGATTGTTACCCGTTGTGAATACAGATAGTTCTATTTGTATTCTCTCGTTCTCTAAATAGGTTTTTTAGAAAATAAGTAAATAGTTTGCATACGACAATAATGACAGAAAATAAGCATTAGTTATCCATTATTATGCTTGAAGCCAAACAGAATTGTTAACAAATAATCGACGCGTTTATTAATCGATCGGCATTATCTGACATAACGTATCCTACTGAGATTTCCAAACTGCTGATTCGGAACTTTGTTTTTGTCCTAATTGATGACATAACGCCCTTTTCATAGTTTATGGATTATGACATTTTTATGATAAGAATCCTTAACTGTGCATCAGGCCTTAATAATTCGATCTTATAAATAATATTGATGCTTAGAATCATGTCATTCTATTCTTATTGGTTTGTGGTTATGCCAACATACTATCACTGTTTTGATACAAGTAATAATAGTATTTTTTGGGGTCACACCGACCTATTATTGCCCTTGTTTTACGCTAAACAATTGGTGATACTGGTTGGTGGTTATGCCAAACAAACTGACAATGTGTGAGTTTAGATCATTGCATATCTTTTTAGATTATGCTTTCGATGGATAGATCCACCAGGTCTTACCATGGTATGGATTGTTTTGGGGGCATGCCTTTACAAAGCAACTCTTGATGTTACGGGCAGACTTACCTATATTTGGTATGTTTAAGATCTAAAGATGGTAGTCGTCCTAAAGGATAAGGATCCGGTCTGGTCTCACTATTATTATTATTATTGTTGTTGTTGTTATTCATACCATGGTCACTTGGATCACTACTAACTTGTCTATTTTTAGTATCACTGCCTTCTAAATGTTTATTGCTTTGGATTGAACTGTTGGAGTTGGAACGAGTCACCAATGACGCACTTGATGAAGAGTCATATAACGAATTATTTCTATTATTATTACTATTATTTGGTAGTGAAGATGATGTCGATGGTTGGTTTGGATGATGCGGGTAATTGTGATTATTTTGATAAATATCCCTGAGATCTCGTTGACTACCGTTATTCACTACTTTAATAGTTTTATTGTTCCTTGCTGAATTATTCATATTTTTATCCAATTTATCGTGCGTCGTTACCACACGATGAATTTCTTCAATGGGCGAAACTCTCACAGATTTGAATGCGCATCTCATACCACATCCTATGAAGAACATCAAAACAGCCAAAATGAGCACAAAAAATCCGAGAATGTGAAGAGAACCATACAGTGGTATTGCTGGTTCATTTCCAAAGGCAACAAGGGTTAACGTTATTCCTGGTATAAGAAGTGGTACAGAGAACGTTATCATACACGGTGCCAGATTGGCTTTGATTTCCTTAGTGATCATTCTGATTCTCTCCTGTGATGTTGGCATGGCTATGTTAGACACAGGCTAGCTCTGAGCATGATGTCCAAGTTTTAACTGAAATAACAAAATTCAAGGATTTTATACGAGTTGTACTAGACAACAGGAACTGGCATTTCATTTCTGAAAAACTGTGAAAAGCAATTTTATAAATAGTATGTATCCAATGACAACTCAGTTAAAAAACACATACCGTATAGTTATTCCGTGATTCCGTGAAATTCAGCTTTATGAACTTATTTTCTGTGTCAGAATGGGCCTGAATGAACGGTAACAGTGTAAAATAGTGTGCAATAAGAGAAATTATGAATGATCATGAAGGTACACGACAGTTTGTAGCACAGGATGTCCCGGTTATTTTATCAACCAAACCATCGAATGATAATTTCTATATCCGTCACCGGAAACCTCAATGAATATAAAGATAAAAAGGTAGTTGACCTGTGCAGAGATCGAATGTCGCATTCTGTTTCCGGTAAGGTTCTCCTAGACAAACGCAATTGTCCAGCTTATAAATTAGGAGATTTGAAATCAATTCGAGTAAAAAATTCTATTTACGATAATGAAATCATGCATATATGATGATATAAATTCATAATATCGCGTATTCATGATTAAAATGATTTAATAACTTTTTCCAATTGAATTTCCTCCCAGACACAATTAATTAACATTCCATCAAGTAAATAATGAGTAGTAATTGAGAGACGATAATAGAGTGGTTAATTTGGAAATCAAGTCTTGGATCAACAATTTTCTACTCCAGTAGAAGCAACGCAGTAATGTCATGCAGTGTTCTTTGAGGATCATTTCGGTAGGATCTGTGACGTGAAAGGGACGGATCCACCATCAGTTTAACAAATCGCACCATAGGCTCAGAGACGTATCCAAATCAACCTCCAAAATGGCGAATCTATCCCTTTAAACTAGCCTTTTTCGATATACGACTCAGTCAGTAGAATGGGGGACCTCAGGGAAATGTTCGAAAGACAAGACGTTCAGAGACAAAAATGTGGTGGGAAACGGAAACGATATGAAGAAGGGTGTGTTAGGATATAGAGACTAAGCAATTAAATCTTCATAAACTATATAGCTAACTAACTAATTCATTTTTCCTATTTGCGCGAAGAATTAATTCTTTTTGGTCATATATTGTACAATTATAGTTGTCATACCTTGTTCTGGGCAAGTTTTTTGTTACCCTGGATTTGATATAGCTTTGATCAGTTGGCACTCCATTTGGGTCAAAATATCGGAGACAGTTCTACTGTTATGAATTGGTATGTGTTATTTTTTGCCTCTTTCTTATTTTGACAAGCTACAGTCTGACAACCTAGAAATTCTATCACTGCAAAAAACACGAAACACCATTGCCCCTCCGGATATATTACTTGCCCTCTGAACAATCAAGTCTTGATCTTAGACCGTCAATTGACAAAGCGGATATGAATCGATGATGCACAGCACTCTATAGATCACATAATTAAAGATTGATGCCTTTCATTATGTTACAGCATCAAGATCGATGGATATTTATGGATTCTTGGATACTATTTATACTATTATCGGCAGAAGTGATAAAATTTCGTTTTCCGTGTGGCCTTGGTCTAATTTTGGACATCAGGAAACTCTTTTAAAATAACATATTTTGCAGCAATATCGTCAGAAATATAGATATTTTAGCAAATCACTTACAAACATTTACAAACTGACAAAGTGTTAAAACATATACTAACACCCTTGACAATTATTATTTTTTTCTGTCTTCAGAATATTCAGAAATGCAAAAATAACTTGTTCGTGAAAGCATACAAATAGGTACATAAGAAGAGTAAACATTAGCTAACCCACCGTTCGAACGTTGTCGTTTAAACCAGACCAACTTATCAATATATACCGTGGTTTATCCAAATATTTTCGTATGAGGCGGTGACGAGTTTTGTAGAAAAAACATACAGTATGTTGATATTGTAAGTCATTGTCTTTTTATTAATTAGAAAATAATTTTTAAAATTCAAACTTTAAAGCTTGGCAATAGCTTCCATTGAGTCGAATATGATCGTTATTAGGGCGAAACTGAATATTGATTGATCATGTCAATCAGGTACTAGTAGCATGACGTTTAAAGGGATGGATTCACCATCCATTTGACCAAGCGCACCTTATAGTCTCAGAAAAGGTAATTATTTAGCTGAGCTAATCAGAAATATTGTTCACAGTTCACTGTCGAAATTTGAGTCTTCAAATCCATTTGAGTCCCGACTTGCCCGCGTTTGAAAGTTAAAATGACGACTCATTTTTCTTGGGACTCTGACAAAAAGGAAAGACATCTATAGAAATTGGAAGAAATTCCTATTATAGTTTTATATATTTTTTAAGGAAGGAATTGTGTCATTCAGACATTTCTAGTACTTCTGAAGACTAATTACATACATTTTAGACCCAACCTCCGAAAATGGTAAACCTGTTCATTTATTATCCATTTCGTTTCATTTATTTCTGATTACTTTATATAATTGTCAAATCTTGTGGTAAACCATGAAAAATGTTTTATATAACTCGTAAATCCTATATTTAATGGTAAATTAACAATTAATCTAAATATTTTAACAGTAAGTAGCTGGATCCGCATTATATATAGTATAATAACGAATTTTGGCTTCATCATGTCTGCCATCGGCATTGCGGGAGATATAAATATATTGATAAAAACACTGGCGTTTGTTATTCTAATGACGCTTCTAATTCCTGAAAATTCAAATACATGTTTTTCAATCCATTGTCATTACTTAAAAATTACGGAAAAGCTTGAGTCCGATGACATTGTCTTTAGTACCGGATTGGTGCGTGGGAACTTCATTGAAATGACATTTTTACGGCAGGAAACTAAATAATCGATATAAATCGATAAATATCGATAAAAAAAACTGGCATCTGTAACAGTTATAATGCCTTAGGTATTCTATTCTATCACAAATGGCATTAGTAATATGAAAATAATAGTAGAATTTAAATCACAGAAGACAATTTTATGGTTTTATTTAGTTTAATGGATATATTGGTTATATATAGAGATTTTAGTCATGGTACCTTTTAAGTCAAGCTGATGAATGTCTTGACCATGTTTGAGAATATAAATTTTATGTCCATTCTAGGACGTATCCTTTTAATTTGATTTTTACCCCTAAATATCGCATTATGATCATTACGTAGAATTTGTCTCTATCAGCACTAGTTTTGGTACGTGAGAACACCAGTATCCAAGGTCAATTGGACCTGCCAATTAGTTGATACACTGTGTATTTAATATGACTAACGGAATGTTGGTACATACTCGTCACATACTATACTTAATCCAATACATAGATATAATCATTCTTATCATACCAATACCTTATAACAACAGTATCAGTGTCCGATGATCAATTTTAAAGGTAAAACTTTTCCTACCTGCGATATCGTTCATTTTATCTCCCAGATTAACAGATCACTTTAGTCGATCTTCAAACAGGATGACACCGTCAATATCTGGAACAAAACTCAGTGAATACATGTCTAGTGTTGCCATGTTACACCATAATAAACACTCTAGTATTATGGTAAGAGAATATTAAAGGTAGATAACTGGTGTTTATGTGACGATGTCTACGAGTGGTGGATTTGCAATCAATAATAATGATATTAAACAGCTAATCTACTGCTAATTATACAGCTATAGCGTACAGTTCAAGTGAAAGCTTACTTAAATATAATACCTTAATGATATACTTCTAGCAGACAGACGTTCAATCTCGTACTTTATTTAATAGAATCTATGTAATTAATGGCCTTTGTATGATGATTACAGGTTAATCGATACTACTTTCAAATTAGCTAAGGAATCCAGAAACTAATCCAAATCAGGAATACCTGATTCTATTCTTAAACTTAAACGTGGGCGATGTTGTTCAAAGAGTCTCACATGGAAGCAATTCACACTTGTTTTTCATAATTTTTGCCTTCATTCATAGAACCATTCTTGAGCAAGGGGCCATCGATTGGTATTCTAGGTTTCCTAGATACGCCACCGAGACGTATGATTTTGGTCGGGACGTTTTGAATATCCCCCTTTTTTTACCACATAGACCATGTTCACCTTTCCGCTCACTTTCTATTTGGAATAGATAAATTCTATAGTTATTGGGCAACTACGGTAACAATGTTTATATATCGGATTCTGACACGATAGTCATGAGTCGCCATTGATCGAAATTAAAATATCGATAAAACAAAAAAAAATGTCGATATTTGATTTTCTACGCCCACTTGGCTGCTTCACGGATAATGGTGCTGATACTTCTTTATGTGTATGCAAATCTACATTTATTTCATAGTCGTGGTCAACAGTTAGAATGAAGCTTTTTAGTTTTTAGTTTTTGAGAGAAAGTTATTGAAAAAGTTCGTTAAACAAAGGCAACAAAACGTCTTTTTGTGAACATTGGGAGAAATGATTTAATCACGATTTCTGTCTTTAAGTGATACACACATCTTTTAGTATAGCCTAACCCTTGAGGATTAAAAGGGACAGTTCGCCATCCGATTGGCCAATTATTGTACTCATGTCTCAGAAACTGGAATGTTTTCGCTCAGCAAATAAGTACTAATGTTCACAGCTCACCAGAATTATCCGCGTTTGAATATAAAATGACGACTCGTCATTTCTCAGGACTCTGCCATATATAGAAAAACATATACAGTATAGAGATAGAAAAGACAGAAATATAGATAATTTGAGGTATTTTCAAGCAATTATGCCATTTTTTACATTTCTAGTACTTCTGAAGACTTTATATACGTTCAAGACCCAAATCAACCCCCAAAGAAGACGAAGATGTCCCTTTAAATGTAAGCACAACTAACTTGTATTCATTGTATCAGACTAAAACAAAACCTGAATTTCACACAGTTTATTTTCATAACATAACATTCAAGTTTGGCACAATATACTATATACATTATTCTTTGTTAAACACAAAATTAACGAAATATATTTAATAATCACATTATTTAAAACTTTAAAATAAGAGCACTCGGATGGTTGCAACTACATATAAAAACTAAATATGCTTATCACAATAGATAATGGTATAAAAATGCGAAACATAACACAACATATTTTATACAATTTGGGATAATTGATGTTATATATTGGCAATTTGGGATTCGTCATAATAAGAACATTTAAAAATATCTGCAATTTATTGTCATATTCATTGAATATCATTTCATAGTTCAGCACTGCAAGAGGCAAAATTTTAGATCTAGCAATAGGATGCCATGGGACAATAAAATTTTAAAATTCTGAGGTACATTGGATATATGCAAAAACAAAAGGGTTAAAATAAAAGTTAACGTTAACTTTAAAAATGCATGTTATTCAAAAAAGCATTATAAAACCCGTACAATAAAAGAGAATCTCTCATTATGCTGCTTCTTGAATAATGTCAATCAGCCGTTTGGATTTGGAAGGGGTCTAGCCATAATATCGTTTAAGATGTATTCAACAGTATGAAAATTGAGCAAAAACTTGTCATTATAATTCCAACACAACGACTTGTGATATTTTTTACAACAATCGGTGGTTCAATGGTACAACACTTTCGACATTAAACAACATCTTCATTGGAATGAAAAACTTCATCATCGTTCGTTTGGTTCGAATCAGCTATGGGTAAAGTTGACGGACTAACGATGTACACTGTGTCAGTTTGTGTTTTACTCCCACCCTCATCTTCCTCGAAAGAAGGATGTATTTTACAGTTTCTTAACGATACTAATGATATCTGAGACGAATACTTTTCCTCAGATCCGCTAGAGGTTTCAGAAAATGTTACTCCGCGACGTACTTTCGTTGGTGGTTGGGATTCTGGATTAGGAGGTTTCCGTAATGCTGATTTAGATGGTGGTAGCTGTTGAGAAATTATAGCAGTTTGTTGATCGATGTATTGCTGGTTGTCTTTCTTGAACAAATTATACAAAAACGGACAGGTTTTTGGATTATCTGGGATGATCCGATATATTAAAGGTTCTATGTTAATGATTTCCGTAAGCAATAATCCTAAGATAAAACATAGTAAAGATAATCCGGTAAACAATGGTCCTAACAAGAATAAGGATGACGGTAAAGATTGTTGATTTTTGTTAACATTGGTCACAATAAGAATGATGGTACCAGCTAACAATAGAGGAAATCCTAACACAAATATACAACCACCAATTCTGATATCTCGGCATCTTCTGTCCTGTTTTCGCCTTGCTCGTCGTTTTTCACGTTCCTGAGATTTTGGTTTGTATCTTGATTCTGACTTCCTACCCATTTATACATCCACATCTTTTGTAGCTACATCTGAAATGAGACAATGCAATATATAACTGATATAACTATCAGTGATCGGGTCATCTCTAATTTGGTTTTAACCTTCCCTTGGGCATGAGGCGTCCATTACTCATATTTAACCTATATCAAAATATCAAAAAGCACATAAAGATGTTTCGTTTGAGTTTTTACTTTCTTTAGGCTAAAAGGCATTTGTTTTGTTGAATAGACATAGAACATGCGTTGCATTCAGATGGCAACAGAAAGAGCACTAAAGGTAACGCTCAGATCTGCATTTGAATCGTTGCCGAAGTATAAACGATATCGAGAAAAAGACATTTATAAATCGATTTAGTTGCCATTTTTGTTTTTATTTTGTGAGTGTTTGGTCGTCAAAACATCTTCACTGCCTTGGAAATCAGATATGTGTTAGAGAAAAAAAATTATGATTCAATTTTCTTCATTAATCAATAAAATCTTGGATATGGAGTTGACCGCCAGTCAATACCCTTGCCTTTATTCAGTTATGATACACGAAATCGTGATCTAGATTATATTTCACAACAGCTTTTCAGCTTTCAAGTAATGCACTTTCTATATACATTGTATTCAGCTTTCTTTTAAAGCACCGTCTATATATACATGTATTAACCATTGTATTAGGTTTCTAGGGGTACATTTTTTTTATTTGAAAGTAAACACGTTTACATATACTGGTATATCATAATATTATAGTCTTTATAAAGGGTGTTTATGAACTATGACTGAATATCATATACCTCTATATATAGGTATAGAAATAATACATATTTCAACCTTGACCCTTGATATTCAAGTACTAACTATAATGAAGTATATAGTAATAAGTCTTATAATAGTAGTCGATAATCACGCAATATATGAAATATCAAGAGTAGAAAATCAAATGCGTCGATCGTTAAGACATATAGCACGAAGAATGGTTGTTAGGAGTTTCTATACATTTTTATCAGCTGTTTCTTGCTTAGTACCTAGACTACAAAGAAATATTTTAATGAAACTCAGGCTACATTATTTATATCAAATCAAGTTATTTTCAGTGCGTTTCCACCTCTGAACTGAACAGTTGAAGTCTATTTCCGATCAAAGCACATTATCGATTTCTGTATTCATTGTTATTCCTCGTAATGCTACCAAACTAATCGCAATTAGCACCAATATAACTTAAGTTAATGATATTCATGCAGATTGGCCGATATACAAGCTTCCATTGGGATTTACAAACAACATTATCAGAATTTAGGCTTGAAGTCGAATGACAATTATAATGAAGTAATCTGTGATACTATTTATAATCTTAAATGCGTTATCAACAACAGTGCTTACTCCTTAATATAGTCATTTGGAAATATATGAACTATATTTCTTGGTATTTTACCATAACGTTTGATTGAAACTCCTTGCCAAAAATAACGAGTCAAAATCATCCATCGTGAAATAACGTTTCAATGAACAGTATTACGCAGGTACGTGAATCAACGAAAGAAATTGAAACAATTCAAAAATATTTACCTTCTGGCATAAATTTAATTTCGAAAATAAATCGATAAAGCATATACAATTAGACACGAGATCGTTGCGATTGGATCGAAGATATTTTAATATTCTTGTGTTTAATCTTTGAAGCGTTCAGTAAACTACAAAAGTACATATATATTATGTACATTGTATATATACCTATATCGCAAACACTAGATCAAATATAAATATCTCTTACTCACTCGTCAAATATGGCGTTAAGTTTACATCCTTCTTTTTTTAAACGTATCTGTGTACTTCAACTCTTTTCGAATCTACATCTTTTAAATGGCTAAACCTCTTCCCTCATACTCTCTACTCAGTATTATGTATTTAAAAATAATACTCAGTTCAGTTCATTGAGCATGCGCATGAAGGTACCTTACAGATTATCTTATTATGTACCACGTGATTATTAATCTTGCTGACCTACATCTTCTTTATAGTCAATATTGATTCACCTGGAATTGTTGACATTGGTTACCATCGAGATTAACGATTTTCAATAATTACAATATGCTCTGTTTTAACTGTCTTATCTGTAACCTAACATTAACTCTGATGAGCTGAAAATTGTATGCAAAGTACTCAGTAAGCAGTTACCTAAATGAGTGAGCTACACCCAGACTATGGAAAATTTCTTAAAATTGCAGATGTTTTTTTTATGTAGAATAGCTAAATAGCTAAAATCTTGCTAAATAAAGCTCGCAAGGNGGGCGGGGGGGGGGGGGGGGGGAAAGGGGGGGGGGGGGTGAAAAAACGG